TGTTGCTCATGACAAACCATCATGACTTTAAGATGTACGAATTGTTCCAGCAAACATAGTCTGAATAAAATACAGCAGACGTCAGCATGACCATCAATTACGGTCACACTTTAGCATCACCATCAAATGACCACTGCACAGAGCACACTACAAACAGCACGGCACATAGCTCATGGAGCATTGATAGCTCACTGCACACTGCAAACAGATCTCTGTGCACAACTCACTGTGCCATTTTACAACCCCAACAATGCATAAGAGTTCCAAGTTCTCTACAACTTCACCAACACTTTTTAAAAAAGTATGGTGCTAATGGATATGAAGTAATATCTCATAGTGATTTTTATTTGCATTTCTCTGATCATTTGTAATGCTCACTATCTCCTGTGCTAAGTGGCCACTTGTAAATCATCCCCTGTATTTTCAATGCAGGGTTATCACCAAATCACCCGTGTGCCATCACCATGGTCCAGTGCACTTTCCTCCCCTCCACCCTCCGTTTTTGATCCCATTCCCCACTCCACCCCCATAAAACGTCTCTGGTCTATAGTTGTTCATTATTATTATTTTCTAGCCTGGTCCTTTATACTCCTGCTATGAGTGAAACCATCCGGTATTTTTCCTTTTCTTTCTAGCTAATTTCACTAAGCATGATCCCTTCCAGCTCCATCCATGTACATACCTAGTTTTTTAATTTTGTTTAAACTTGAAAATGTCTATTGCAGGGCCTCCCTGGTGGTACAAGGGATTAAAGTGCAGCATTATGAAGCTGTCCACAGTCACTGCAGCAGGAGTTGGATCCCCGGCCAGGGAGCTGACCCACATGGCGATGCAGACCTCTCCTCTCTCACCTGCTGCTGCCCTCAGCAGTATATTTTGGTCAATCCGCTTGTTCTGTCCCGCACTCTGTCTCTGGTGAATCTTCTCACCCCTCCCCCCACAGCTTTGTCCTGTACCCCAGTTCTTGTATGTGCAAATAAATAAATCTTTTTAAAGTCTATTGCATTTGATATAAACTTCTGCAATCATTTTCACATTAGAAAATATATGTAAAATAGAGTGTTTAGCATATAAAAATGCAGTAGATATTATTTTCCTGCAATTACTTAACAATTTCATTTATTCCTAGTGGATCTTACAAAATATGAGCATTTCCCATTGCTAAAAAGTTAAAACAAAGTTAGAAAAAGAAAGATTCTTGCCACAAGTAAATATATATCAATTTAAGTTATTATTAAATAAAATAAAGCTATGAAGGGGAGAAAGAAATTTTCCGCACTCTTCTTAGGGACCTTGACTGGATCTCAAAATTAAAGTGTCAAAGACAGATTAACAGGAGGGAAAATATATAAATTAGTTTAGGTTTTATGTGATTCTGCTGCCTTCATAGGGAAATGAAAATCCAAAGAAAACAGTTAGATGTGAGCTTTTTTTTTTTTTTTTAAAGATTTATTTATTTGTGCATACAGAACTGGGGTACAGGCCAGAGGCTCAGGAGCGGTGAGAGGCTTCACCAGAGACAGAGTGGGGAACAGAACAGGCAGATCGACCAAGTACACTGCTGAGGGGAGCAGCGGGCGGGTCTGGAGAGGTCTGACACACCATGTGGTCACCTCCGGGGCAGGTGGGAATCGAACTCATGCTGAAGCAGCTTTAGATTCTCAGTGCTGTGCTTCAACCCGCTGCGCCACCAGGGAGGGCCCAAGAGATGTGAGCATTTTTATTTTAGGTTTGATGAAGAGTTTTGGAAGGATATGAAAGATTAAGGAGTATGAAATATTAAAAGATAAGCTCAGGTATATTAAGCTATTTAAGAATCTATTTGCATTTATCAATTAATATTACTAAATTATGTATTTAGAAATGGTTAAGATGGTAAATTTTATGTTAAATGTTCTTTACCTGTGAACATTAATGTTCAGAATTTAATTTAAATGGAGTTGGGTGCCTAGAGAATATCCAAGCATGTGTAAATAAATCAGTGATCAGCTGGATCCTCCATGCTTTGCATTTCCCACGGTTTCCCCTTCTGGAACTAAGGGGACAGTCCTCTTAAGATGTTATACAGCTGGTTGTGAGACTAAGATTAGTGGAAGTGCATTGGCTCTCCCCAGCAACACACTCTGCCTTCTCTCCTATTGGCTTGTTTTCCAACTAAACCCAGTTTGTTTAAATAATTGATTGCCTTTACTTTAATGGGGTAATCCTCAGGCACAGGGGAGATTCCAGGTTCCCTGCCCCACCCTACAGAAAGGAAGAGCTGGGCGGGGAGGAGAAGCTTCAGAAGACAGGGAGAAAGAAGGAGGGAAATCTATCGGAGGACCAGGAGCAGAAAGACATGTGAAGAAGCCTTGGACTTATACCAGGGAGGGCACAGAAGGAGACCCTTTAGAGACAGAGACGAGGGTAAGAGACCCGTGGAGAGGTAGACCACGGCAGCCTTTATCTTGATTTTGATGTTCTTTTCCTTCCAGACTTGCGCCCCTTCTCTCTCTTTCCTGTGGGTGCCCACCAGAAGATGTCTTGGACTTGTGACAAGCTTTTGGGCCTCCGCAGCCCAGCTATGGGACAACTCTGTCTGGCTTTTTGTAAAAGATGTCACTATGCTGATTTTTAAACAATTGTCCTAACTACGAAAAATAAAAAGCATTCTACTTTTAAATTGATGAGTGTATGTAAACATATATTCCCATGGAAATAAATAGTGTTGCCCTTTTAAGAGGTAAACTAATTAAAGTTATAAAGATTTGATGATCTGGTAAGAGATTAGTTGTCATTTTCAACTTGGTTATTGTATAAAGTTTATGTAATGAAGGTGAAGATTGGCTCAGATTCGAACAGTTTCTAATGTTTACTAGAAAAACTACCCCCATCCTTCTAAATCTCACCAACTCACAGTGTTATGTGAGAAGAGGGTGGTAAGGGATGTGGATGATGAATAGGGAACATGATGCATTGTCACAGCATTTGATAAATGATTATATGAGTAACAAAGGAGTCTCAGTAATATGATAGACCAAATGTTAGTGTCTATGTTTAGGGAACTCCTAAAGTCAAGATTACATAAATATCCCAGGGGAAAAACTGGCCCGACACATGAAATGCACTTTGCAAAAAGAGGTAGAAATAAACAAGAGACATGAAATAGTCACCCTCACTAGCCAAATATATTTATTTTTAAAATATTTTTTATTTATTTATACAGGAGCTGGCGTATAGGCCAGAGGTGTGGGGTGTGTGAGAGTATTCACCAGATACTGAGTGGGAGGAGAACAGGCAAATCTACTGAAAATACACTGCTGAGGGAAGCAGGGGTGAGACTGGAGAGGTCTGCTGTGCCATGTGGGTCACCCCAGGAGTGCTGCAGTGGCTGCAGATAGCTTTCCTAGTGCTGAGCTTTAACCTGTTGCGCCATCAGGGAAGGCCTCAAAGCTTATACTCTTAAGCATATTTTGGTGAAAGTTATTTTGAAGGTCCTTAACAATATTGTGTATCTTCTGACATAGTTATCCCAATTTATGAAATTTATCCTAAAGAAATAGTCAGAGAAGTGCATAAAAAGTTCATATGCATATATTCATTACAGCATTATTTCTTGTGTAGCAGAAAATTGAACTGAGCCTAAATGACCAATAAAAAGGGAATGGCTAAGTAAATTATGAAATGGCTATGCAATGAAACACTCTGCAACTCTAAAAGACTATTTAGTGGCATATGCTAAGAAAATAAGTCAGAGGGAGAAAGACAAATACCAGATGGTGTGACTTATATGTGGAATAGAGAAACAAAACAAAACAGACAAAACTAAACTAACACAATCCCTAGAAATATGAATGTAAAATAGAGGCTACCAGAAGGAAAGGGTGGGGGCAGGGAAACAAAGTAGGGAAGGGGCCCAACCAATAGCCCAAGGTGGAGGACCTTGGGTCCTTGGTGGTGGGTGGGGTGAAGTGACATATACCCCAGGGGGGTGTGACCCTATTCCTAGGAATCCTATACAGTGCCTGAAACCAAGGAGCCCGCCCCAAAATGCAATTTACAAAATACAATGAAGAGCAAATTATGACGATTCAGAAATCCCCTTAAATATACGCAATCCACTTAATGCCACTTAAAAATAACTAATTTTAAACAAAAACAACATACACATCAAAAGACACAGGCATGTGGCTGCGAGGCGCGGGGTGGCGGGCGAGGCGGCTCGGAGACGAGCAGTGAGTTGGGCTGGAGCGCGAGCGGGAGGCTAGAGCGCCGGAGCAGCGAGCTGGAGCGCCCAGCGGCCAGCTAGAGCGCCGGCAGCGAGTTTGAGCGCCGAGCAGCGAGTTTGAGCGCCGAGCCGCGAGCTAGAGCGCCCAGCCGCGAGCTAGAGCGCCGATCCCGAGCGCAGCCCTTGAACGAAGGAGCCCACCGGCCGCCTGCCTGCCCGCCGTGAGTTCAAGAGGGAGCCCGCCCCGCGTGAGGGCGGGAGCCCGCCCGCCGGGGAGAGGGTGGGAAGGAGGGAACCCGCCGGCCGGCGAGCGTGGAGCGGGAGAGGGAACCCGCCCACTGGGCGAGCGGGGCCGGGGGGGGCGGGGACGTTGGAGCGGGCCGCCCCGCGTGCGAGAGCCGGAGAGCCCGCCTGCCCGCCCAGCGTGCGGGAGAGAGCCCGCCAGCTCCGCGAGCCTAAGAGCTGGGGAGCCCGCCATCCCGGCCCGAGGGGAGAGTGAGGGAGCCCGCCGGCCGGTCGTCGTGAGCGGCCAGACCGACAGCGTGAGTGAGGGCACAGCCCTGAGGGAGGGAGGGAGGAAGCCCGCCGGCACGTCGAGCGGGAGGGAGTGAGGGGCCCCACCAGCTCTGAGAGTGTGAGTGGGGGCATCGCCTGCCCGCCCACGGCTAGACCTGAGCGAGCCAGTTCGAACAAGGGTAGCCGGCTAGCCTGCCCTGGGGGACGGCGGGAAGGGGCCCCCAACAGTTCTAGATCGTGGAGTAAGGACACCATCCTGCCTGCTCGACAGCCGATCTGCCTGCCTGCCAGCCAACCTGCTCGCCCACCTGCCTGCCCACCCGCCCTCCAACCTGCAGTCGCTAGCAGCTAGGTCTCCAGCGTGAGTGGAGGTACCAGCCAGCCCACCCAGCGAAAGTGAGGGTGTCTGCCAGACAGTCCAGTCCGAGGGAGGGAGGGAGGGAGAGGAGGGTCCCCACTAGCCCAGAGGGTGAGACCATTCACCTGCCAAACTACCCAGCTACCTGCCTGCCCCCTCCATTTGCCTGTTAGCTGCTACAACCTGCCTGCCATACAGCCAGTCGACCAACCTGTCAGCAGCCTCCAGCCTGCAGACCCTGCCAACCCACCTGCCTGTTGCCTCCCCTCAGTAAGCATACCACTCAGGCCTCTTGGACAGTGTTGGTGTGGGGTGGAGGGAAAGGGAGTAAGTACTTGCTGTGTGGATGAGGAAACTGCTATCTGCCACCTTTGCCTTTTCTCTCTTCCCTGTTCCCACTCTGACCTCCTAGCAGCACCATGTGGGCACCATCAGCCAAAGTCAGTAAAAAGGAGCTTAATGCCAACCATGAGGGTGCTGGCAAGACCTCAGAAAAAGAGCAGCAAGAAGCAATTGAACACATTATTGATGAAGTACAAAATGAAATAGACAGACTTAATGAACAAGCTAGTGAGGAAATTTTGAAAATAGAACAGAAATATAACAAACTCCGCCAACCATTTTTAAAGAAGAGGTCAGAATTGGTCACCAGAATCCCAAATTTTTGGGTAACAACATTTGTCAACCATCCACAAGTATCTGCACTGCTTGGGGAAGAGGATGAAGAGGTGCTGTATTATTTGGCAAGAGTTGAAGTGACAGAATTTGAGGATATTAAGTCAGGTTATAGAATCGATTTTTATTTTGATGAAAATCCTTACTTCAAAAATAAAGTCCTCTTCAAAGAATTTTATCTGAATGAAAATGGTGATCCATGTTCAAAGGCTAGTGAAATCAAGTGGAAATCTGGAAGGGATTTGACGAAACGTTCTGGTCAAACGCAGAATAAAGCCAGCAGAAAGAGACAGCACGAGGAACCAGAGAGCTTCTTTACCTGGTTCACTGACCATTCTGACGCAGGTGCAGATGAGTTAGGGGAAATCATCAAAGATGATATTTGGCCAAATCCATTACCGTACTACTTGGTTCCTGATATGGATGAAGAAGAAGGAGAAGATGATGATGACCAAGGATTGGAAGATACTGATGAAGGGAATGAGGATGAAGAAGACGATGAGGGAGAGGAAGGAGAAGATGACTAATGGAACACATGGATTCCAACTTAACTTTCCAAATTCATAGGTTGAAGTCTGTCCCCTCTCTCCCCATTGTGCTCAGTTTCTCTATTTTTGAAGTCTCTTTACTCCTTTATACCATGGTTCTTAATTGGGGTGTGGTGGCGCAGAATATAGTTGGGAAAGAATCTCTACCCCTATCTGTTCTAAATTCATTTTCATCCTGTCTCAGCAAAATCTTTAAGTAATAAGCTCTGGGGTGGGGGTGGGGGAAATCCTAAACTGTTTGGAAGTTGCAGTATGCAACTTCTTTTTCTATGTATTGGACTCAGATCACACTGTTGCTGTGTGAATATGGACAGTTAGCATTTACCAACATGTACCTGTCTAGTTTCAAAGAAAAATATCTTAAAAAATGGAATTATAGAAGGTCAGCAAAGGGCTGTTTTGCGATATCAGAGTGGGTTAAGTGGGCATTTTGACAACATGGCTGTTCCTTTGGCATGTTTAATTGTGATGTTTTAGCAGATACCATTGTGGTTTAAGATGATACTTTTTTAAAAGAAAATTGTCCCGATGATTTTAGCCTTACCCCTCAATGGGAGAAGCAGAAGAACCTGTAGGATTGTATTTGGATTGACATTCTTTGTTATAATTTTGTTCTTGCTTATTTTTTTAATTTTTTTTCTGTTTCACTGGAAAGAAAAGATAATGCTCAATTTTAAATGTTAAAAATGTACAAATTGCTTTGTTTCAATAAAATCAAATGTGTACACACAAAACCAGGAATGTTAAATGTAAGTGTTTAAATTAAATATATATTTTATATATATATATATAATTACTGGATAATGGAAGGGGTAAATATATTTTTTATTGTTCAAAAATGCGGGTGATACTTATTTACAGAATCAGAAAAACTTATTTTTAGGTTCACATTTGTCCTATGAAGTCTTCCCTATCAAAACATTTGTACACCTTTCTAAGAGAGATTTCAGATGTCATTCATATACCATACAATTATTAACTGGATAAAAAAGTCTTAATTATAGTACAAGTAGCTTATTAAGTCAAAGTGAAGATTTGAACCAGAGAAGCAGTCTGACAGAGTTTACTGTGAGCTGTTCTAATAAACAGAAGTTTGAATTTCATCTATATAGGTAAGAACAGTGAGTCATTGACATTAAGAATATGTAAATTTTTGGCAGGTGAGTCTTCTAGTTTCTAAATTGTTCCAATGTAAAGGTAAATGCTAATGCTAGAGGAAGACAATGCAGGATTAGTTTCTTCCCTAAAGAACACACTGCAGGGATGCAAAGGCTGGGTACCTGCTGTTAAGCCTTTATCTGACTCCTTGATCATTAGTGGAGTAAAAAGACTGGCTCTACCTCCAGGCAGCAGATTCCTGCATACCAGATGAAGCCTGTGAAGATGGTTTTGCTCTCAGCCTACTAGATGGGTGAGGATAAGTGAGGCAACCCCAGAAAATTTAAAAATATATTACATTCTTCCAGTGTTACATCTGTCCAACATGAGGGTACTTTCATCTTACCTATACTTTACCTAACAAGGTATGTCAGTCATGGCTACCTTTCTCCCTATTGTGATCTCAATCTTTAATTTCTTGTTGCCCTCTTGGGACTACTGGGTCTCTGCAAACATTTTTTTCAAGAGGTTTAAATTCACTTTCGGTCAGTTACAGTGATTTTTACCTATTATAGTTGTGTTAAATAGTATAGGGCATCCAATTAAGCAGCCGTGTCCAATTTTTGGCAAGATAATGATGCAGTTCTAAGGAAATGAATAAAGGTTAAAGATTGAAACAAAACCCAGGAATTCTGAGGGCAACCAGTTGAGAATTCTAGATGCCAGAGAGAAATATCTTCAGTAAAGGTGAAGTGTTTGCAGTGATTTCCTGTTTGTAGTTTGATGCCATCAAGTATTTAGGAAAATAGCAGTAGTTACACTTCGGCACAGCTATCTTGGTGATCTCTGAGGTCAATAAAAGTTCCCTTTGCGGCTTCTAAGATTTTTGGAAAAGACAGTTTTAGTTTTCAGTTACTCCAAGCCAAAAACATTGGAGGAAAAACTGGAAAATGGTAGTTTAAAAAATCAAAGCCAGATACTGGAAAATTTCAGGATCCAGTCTGTTCGCAGATACAAATAAAAAAAACTCAAGAAAAATTAATAGAAACAATTACTGAAATAAATTTTCTTTACCTTCACTGCACTTCTACCAAATAATTACAGTAAAATTAATTTATAAATTAAGCCTAGTTCCAGTAAATTTAGCCCCTTTTCCCCCATAAACATAAGAATAAAATATAACCATAAACTTTAAAAAATCTGTTTTGCTAGAACTTTTCATAAGGAATCGTAGGTTGAGCTCTTAAAGACCTTGCAGGGCTAAGGTACATGCCTAACTCTCACCATTACACATTCATTCCCTATGATTCCTAATTCTGGGTAAGTTCCTCTCTGGGTGCCCAAGATGTCCTGAGGCTTCTGAGTATGCTAAGGGATGATCTTTTTTAACCCTTACCTGATAGACCTGGAACCTGAAAACCAGGCACTCCAACTACTTTGTCTTTGAAGGCTCAGTCTGAATTTCTGGAGGCAAGCTAGTCTCAAATATGATATATCACCATGATTCTAATAGTCTAATATTATAGACAAAGAAGAGTTATTGAACTTAAGCATGGAGACATTGCCATGAGAAAGAAAATACTAATAATTTTCACATTTTGGGAGTGTCAGAAAAGCAAATGTTTCAGTTCTCTTCACAAAAGGATGTGATTTATCATTGCTGCAGGCCATAATTGGCTCAAAAAAAGGCTTAAGTCTGAAGAAGCAAAAACTAATATTTCAAACAAAAAGTCATTTAAAAAATACGTTGGTCCTTCATGGTTTATTTAGTCCCACATAGGAAAAATTGGTCTAGTAAACAAATAATACAGGTCCAGTTTTTCCCATAAGCTGCAATTTTTATAATCCTCAGCTCCATGGGAAACTTGTATTCCTAGAGTATTTGTCAGTTTGTTCGTTTGTTTTTGTCTGTGTATCCCTGTCAGTATGAGTTAAATAGCTTCTGAAAATAGCAAAAGGCTTTAAAGTGGCAATAATAAAGATATGATTATAACAATTGACAAGGAAATTTGTTCAATTTTGGGCCCCTCTGATGGCACAAGGGGTTAAGTCTCAGCACTCAACCCACATGGTGAAGCAGACCTCTCTTGTCTCACCCACTGCTTCCCTCAGCAGTGTATTTCAGTAGCTCTGCCTTCTCTGTTCCCCACTCTGTCTCTGATTATTCCTCTAAAACACACACACACACAAATTTGTTCAATTTTATCACATACAATATTTTAGAGCAATAGCCAGAATTGACCAGTAATAATATTACACATGTTAGACTTTTGAGTTTGTCATAATTTTAGGACACTCATTAGAAAGGTTTAACAGGGCCCTCCCTGGTGGCCCAACGGGTTAGGACACATACTGCATGCTAGCCGCAGCTGCTCCAGTGGGACTTGGATCCCGGCCCCTCCCCCCCAGGAGGTGAGCCACATGGCCGGGCAGACTTCTGACCGGCCCACTGCTTCCCTCAGCAGTGTACTTCGTTGATCTGCCTGTTCTGCTCTCTGCTCTGTCTGGTGAAGCTTCTCACAGCTTCTGCACCTCTGATCTGTACCCCAGCTCTGTATACATAAATAATCTTAAAAATAAATAAATCTTAAAAAAAAAACTAAATCTTTAGGTTAATTTCCAAATTTAGAAATTATATAGTTACAATTAATGTATTAATTCCAATATTACTTGTATAAAAGAAAAGACACACAAATAGACACAGACAACTTAGTTTTCATTTTGCTATTCATTGAGCCTAAAAAGAAACTTTCTTCAAATTTAGCATGTTACAGGACAGAGAGGGACACCCCAAAACCTGCATGATCTAAATTGGTTCTGTCATCCACACAATCAAGACAAAATATACTCTAATGCCTAAGCCCTTCAATGGAAAGGAACTTTGATACAATTAGTGTGTAATACTGAAAAGGAGACAATGGAGATGAATAGTTTCCAAATCAAGCACCTAAAGTTACCTATATTACCTTGTGGGAAAATGCCCAGCCAAACAGGGTTGACCTAAAGCAAGGCCTCTGAGGCCTGAAAGCCCACCACAAGTCTAAAGCACTGTCTGGTGGGTACCCATAGAGTAGGGTCAGAAACAGCCAGACAAGTCTGGAAGGAAAAGAGCAAAACCATAATCAATGCTGCCATTGTTAACCTCACTCACATCTGTTTCAACCAGTCCAGGATGAAAAGCAAATGCAGCTTCTTCCAGGTCTCCTAGCTCTCCATCCTCCTTCGCTTCCAGTCTTCTCTTTAGCTTCTCCCTGCTTTGGTAACACTCTCCCTTGGGTGGAGCAGGGTACCTGGAACCTCCCCCTTTCCTGGGGACCATCCTGTTACTAGCACGGGAAGAAATTCAAGTGGTCCCTAGTAGCCTTAGCAACCGTTAATGACCCAATTTATTGACAAGAATTTGTAAAAGCAATTCTGAATCCCTTTCATGGGACTCCTATTTGCAAAAGTCAAGTTTTCTTCCTTTATAACATATACTTATCTGTATTTGCAGCATCTTTACAACTTATTCAATTTCACTTGATTTTTAGAGTATAAATTCCCACACCACGAACACTCTCAGGGAAATGTCAAAAGAAGTAAAATCTGGAATGCAAAAATCTACAGAAGTATCAAATGTTTGCACCATTTATTTCTATTCTGTTTGCTATCTACCCCTTGCCAGGTCTGTAACCTAAAATTGTAACAGGAGATAGCATTGGAAAGTGGAAATAATTGACAATTTGCTTTCTAGACAAACACTGTGTAATTTTGAAAATTTGAACATAGATTTTGATAAAAATTTATAGAGTTTACTATAAAAATGTATGTATATCTCTTAAAAGTTAGTAAACGTTGGGCCCTCCCTGATGGCGCAACGGGTTAAAGCACTGCACTGGGAAGCTGAAGCCACTTCCGCATGAGTTTGATTCCTGCCTGCCACGGAGGCGACCACATGGCGAGGCAGACCTTCCTGACCCACCCGCTGCTCCCCTCAGCAGTGTACTTCGTCGATCTGCCTGTTCTGCTTCCCGCTCTGTCTCTGGTGAATCCTCTCACCCTCTGCATCTCTGGCCTGTACCCCAGTTCTGTACGAATAAAGAAATAAATCTTTAAAAAAAAAAGTTAATAAGTGTTTATATGATTATATGCTCATATTAAATATTTGGAAATGTGTGTGGCTACTTAATACACAGTAAAAAATGATTACTTAAGAGAAAAACTAAAATGAATCTTAACAATATAACCAGTAATATTTTTGGTAATATTAATCTTTAAACAAGTCTCCATAAAAACCTCATTTCAAATGTATATACAAACATAATTTGAACATTATCACAATTAACATTTTTTTTCTTGTAGAAAATTCAGCAACTAATTTCTATGGAAATCATTTCAAGGAAATAAGATGTTTGAAATGTGCTCTTTAAATATGGTGATATAAAAATCAATGTAACCCACCACATCTGAGAATGAAACATTTAAAATAAAGCAATTATATCAATAAATGGTAGTCAAAAATCTGTCATCGGTCTCTCTGATGGCGCAGGGGTTTAAACTCTC